AAGAAGAAGAAGAAGAAGAAGAAGAAGAAGAAGAAGAAGAAGAAGAAGAAGAAGAAGAAGAAGAAGAAGAAGAAGAAGAAGAAGAAGAAGAAGAAGAAGAAGAAGAAGAAGAAGAAGAAGAAGCTTTACGTTTAGAGACAGGGGCTTTATCGTGATCTGGGTGGACTTTGACTGGTCGGATGCACCGTAAAGACAGGGGCTTTACTGTGCATGTGACGAACACGCAGGGGTCGTGTTAAGTGGTGGTTGACTGTCGCGGAGTCACCCGCCATTTAGATAGTTTAGTATGAGTGAGATTATGAATTTTGATGTGTGAATTATAAGTGTATGAGTTAGATAGTAAATTAGCTGGTTATTTTAGACAGTATTAAGGGGCCTTGATTATGAGAAGGATGAAAGATAGGCACACTTATTATTGTTTATCGAACTTTAATAAAATTATGAATTTGTCAGATACTGACTCTGAGTCAGAAACGGTAGAGGCACAAGGTGGCTCTCCTAGAAACATATTAAGTGACAATACGGAAGCTGGACCATCGTCTTCTGTTCAGGCGAACGTCCCTCATGATGACCCCTAGAGACGAAGATGAAGCGGTGCCCCGGGACGGTGCACGGTCAGGAGAGGCCGTATAAGGATAAAATAAATTAAAACAAAAAAATAAAAATAATAAAATATGGAGTTGCCTTGACACCATTTAAGGGCAGCCAACTTCAGAGAACGATCATTTGCTCGTTGGCTTTCAAGGCGATAGGTCGTGTCAAAGTGCGTAGTGTCGAAGTATTGTGTAAATTAACGGTTGATTGTTTGTTCGTAAATTAGTAAAATTGCTAAAACTTTATTTTGTAAAAAAAATAATAAAACTGATTGTGATTCTTTCTTTTTTTTAAATAAATTTTGGTTGTATTTGCTAAAAATATATATTAAAAATTAAAATATTGAGCTGTAATCTTGAAAGTCATTGATGTATGTGTGCTTGCATAAATTTAAAATTAAGTTATGTAGAAATATAATAAATAATGTACAAAAATATAAAAATATTTTGTTTTTATTTACCCCAATAATAATAGGATCATTTTAATAGAGGCATTTCATAGAAGGCTACTTGATATCGGCTCACTATATTAATAACTATCTAAGTGGGTATATTATTTTTGAACATTGATTGTCTATTTTAACTTCATTAATTAGATTCCCCCTTATCAGTTATTATTATAGTGAGCTAAATATGCGTGCCTACGTATATAGGTACAAAAAAAAACAAAATTAGTTCACCCATTATACGCATGGAGCGCTACAATCGCCGTGGATCCACGACTTCGTGCGAGTTGGCCCTCTTTCTACAGTATACTTATTATACTCTTTGCTATGGATTATGGATATTCTTTGTCTTTGTGATTTTATAAACTGCTAACATAATTTTTTATTACCTGTTGATAAATATATCAATTTTTGGAGCAACTGAGTTTTTAAAAATTATAGATGCTACACAACTAATACCACGTTGAATTCACTGCCGATTCTTTTGCCTCGAGGAAGGAAAACGGAACCTTTTTTTCAATTTCTTAAAAATCCACCAACTTTTCTTTCACCGATGTAGTTGCTATAACGTTGTTAGTTTGGCGGAGGAGGATTGAATGAAGCAATTTCAATTTTATGAAAAAATCTTTATTTCCAAAACTGTATAGCTCATAATAATAAAACTAACGTACTAAAAGTTCTAAAAATATAGTTCTATATTTATTGCATAATTGATACAAGTTAACTTAATTATTATTGGGGAAATAAAAACAAAATATTGTTATATTTTTATTGATTTTTTATTATATTTCTACATAACTTAATTTTAAATTTATGCAACTACATATACATCAATGACTTTCAAGATATCAGCTCAATATTGTAATTTTAATGTATTATATATTTTTCAAAATTACATTTACGGTAATAAATAGTATAGCACGGTCACAAAAGAATGCATACCCTGTAATTAAAACCAAACCTTAAAAATTTTTCAGTCACATGCAAGCTGGCAACTCGCAATTTGTAGTTATTTGCAAGTTTAAACACTCTGAACATATTCTCTTACTTACAACATAGGCAAGCACATTTATCTTTACAAAAAAAAAATGCAAATAAAAAAAAATATTTTTTACATATACACACATGGACCCACCTACTAATTTCAGACACATCAGTTTATGGCTCTATAATTCCAGTGATTGACACACATTTTCTAAACATCACTGACCGTCTCTCAGGATGGGGAAAGCCTTGTACATTTGCACCTACAACAAACAAACAGAATGTGATTTCCTGTCAAGTATAGAAACTGATATGTAAAATGTATTAGAATTAGGGCACCATTCAATATGATTTTGCCGGAAAGTATAAACAAAAACTACACCAAAATACGAAAATATTTAAATGTTTAAATGAGTCTGACGTATGGGAATAATATGAGAATTTTTATTGAATTGTAACTTACCATAAGCAGTCCATCTAAAACACAGTTGCATACTGCGTCCTTTTTCATGAAAACACATTTTAATTAAAAACAAAGTGAATGAAACAACATTTAACTAAGAATACAAGAACAGAAATAGAAATACGAAAAAACGTAGTGGTTTGATGACACAAATGATGTTTCTTCTTAGCCATGAGATGAAATGATGTTTACCAAGATTTAAAAGGTGGCGCCACTTTCCATACAAATCGTCCTTCTTCTAAGTTTCCACCCCCTGATATGACCTATCAAATAAACAAACTGGAACAAATAAGCATTTATCAAAGTTAGGGTATTTTGTTGGTGAACTAAACAATAATGGTATTATTACGAAAGCAATGAGCATTATGTTGCGTTCTTAAAATATGTTCGCTTTAGTCAGAAGATTAAATTAAAGTTGCAATTAACGTAATGGTTTTATTTTTCCTAAATTGTTTTCCCTCGAATAATAACTTTAAAACTTTCAAACGTCGAAAAGGTAACTGACAGATTGATTTTTTTAGGTTGGTAGCAACGTAGACTTGTTCATAATATTGCTAGCATTGAAAATAACAATTTTTATTCTCCGTTTGTGTATCTAATTAGTCAAGAGTCCCGTCTCTTATTTTATATACTCTTTAGAATATTTTTAATGATTCATTAAGGCGATCCTAGATTAGGTAAGTTAATATTATTCATATAAAGATAATCATATTTAAGTGAGTGATTTTAAAAATCGTTTTGATAAAACTTATATAAAAACATTCCTCTTTTTTGATTTTGTTACGTTTCTTGACAGATGTCGCTTTTTTGGTAAAAGTTATCTGAATTGTCTTTGGTTTCTGCAACTCATTGATGCTATTGACGTTTCATTTTGGGGGCGGGTATCGAAGTTTAATCATTTTATAATTAAAATAATTTAGAGTAAAATGGTATCATTAGATCCCTTATAATAGATTACACGAAATTAGAAAATAGCTGGGTCTCGATGATTGCCTTTTGGTTGTTCTAGGTAAGCGCATTATCTGTAAGTTCATGCTTCGAGTTAGCTCTTAAAAATTTATTTTATTGGTCATATCCTGTTTTATTGATTTGCTTATCGACTTATCCCTCATATTAAAGTGTCCCATTGAATAAACCAATCGTACTTGGAAGTAGGTAGTGCTTAAAAGATTTTTTTTTCAACAGCCTAAGCTGAAGTCAAGATGATTGGAGGCTTATTCGTCTACAATCATAAAGGCGAAGTACTCATTTCGAGGGTATATCGAGATGATATAGGACGGAATGCAGTGGATGCGTTCAGGGTGAACGTTATCCATGCCAGGCAGCAAGTGCGGTCGCCCGTTACGAACATCGCCCGCACGTCTTTTTTTCACATAAAGGTATGAATAACGCCCCTATTTTTCTCTTTACTGTATTATGAACAAATTTTGCATGATTTATTATATGTTAACTAGTAATCTTATATTTTACATTTAACAATTACATAATTATCTATTTTATGATACAGCTTCTGATTGTGTCATAATAGTGTATATGTTCACAATTAAAGAATTTTTACAATTGTTTACAGTACAATAGATAAAAACACTTAGGAAGAATGTTTCATAAATAGGTAATGATAGTGTAAATAATATCAGTTCATATGCTATGTTCCAAGTTATGTATCCAATCAATCAAAATCTGACCTAATTTTACATGAGAATGTAATCGTAATACTAAGTAATTTTTTAACAGCGTGCCAACATCTGGTTGGCAGCGGTAACCAAGCAAAATGTGAACGCTGCAATGGTGTTTGAATTCCTGCTTAAGATTATTGATGTCATGCAGTCATACTTCGGGAAGATCTCTGAAGAGAATATTAAGAATAACTTTGTTCTTATCTATGAATTGCTGGATGGTAAGTAAAAGAAGATTACAACACTGTTTTTTTTCCACTAAAATATTATATATGTAGCTGTTATTTATATTTTTGCAGAAATCTTGGACTTTGGTTATCCTCAGAACTCTGATACTGGGGTTCTTAAGACCTTTATAACACAACAGGGCATCAAATCTGCTTCCAAAGAAGAACAGGCGCAGATTACTTCTCAGGTAATTTCAATCATCATAACTTGGTGACTTACTGCGTAGAACATAATTTTAAGGCTTACATTTTTCTTCAGGTGACAGGTCAGATTGGTTGGCGTCGCGAAGGCATAAAATACAGACGCAATGAACTATTCCTTGATGTGTTGGAGTATGTCAACTTACTTATGTCTCCACAAGGTATGATATTAAAAAAAAATGTATGATTACATACACACACACACTGTCTCTATTTGTATGGCCCTGGGAAATTAAAAGGATATTTCATATTTTTAAAATAAAAAGCAACTTTTGTTCTTTCAGTATCTATGTAATATTTTTTTTTCTTTTTTGGACAATAGGTCAAGTGCTGTCAGCCCATGTTGCTGGCAAGGTGGTGATGAAGTCTTACCTCTCCGGTATGCCAGAGTGCAAGTTTGGCATCAATGATAAAATTGTTATGGAAGCCAAAGGAAAGGGTAATGGTAAGTAGTACTTTAGTAATTTAGTTTTTTGTCAAACTTTTTCTGCTATTATTGTACAAAATTATATCAAAGCAGACTTAGCTAAGCTTGCTTTTAGACATGACATGGGACATCTTAAATTTTTTAGAGTTATTTTTTAAACCTATATCAGGTTATCCTTAAATTAAGTGTGTACTGTAGCTATTTATTTTAATTTTAATATTATCAATTCTAGGTGGTATATCTGGCAACACTGACAGTGAGGGTGCTCGCTCTGGCAAGCCAGTGGTGGTGATTGATGACTGTCAGTTCCATCAATGTGTGAAACTCAGCAAATTCGAAACGGAACACTCCATTTCGTTCATACCACCAGACGGAGAGTTTGAACTTATGAGATATCGTACAACTAAAGATATCTCCCTGCCATTCCGTGTTATACCACTAGTGCGTGAAGTTGGCCGCACTAAGATGGAAGTGAAGGTAGTTTTGAAGAGCAACTTCAAGCCATCATTGCTCGGACAAAAGATTGAGGTTAAGATTCCAACTCCGTTGAATACGAGCGGAGTACAGTTGATTTGTCTTAAAGGGAAGGCGAAGTACAAGGCATCCGAGAATGCTATTGTTTGGAAGTAAGTTTTCGTGTGTATTTTTTATATCTCTACTAGCTGTCGTTTGTGACTTCGTCCATGCGGAATTAGGAAAAACTTAATTAGTAGTTTATGTGTTCATCCAGACTATGTTCTAAGTCTATGCCAAATTTCATTAGATCCCTTTTGGACATACCTACTAACAAACGTCCATCCATCCATACATCTAAATTTTTATTTAAATGTTCACAGGATAAAGCGCATGGCTGGTATGAAGGAAACCCAGTTGTCCGCTGAAATTGAACTGCTGGAAACTGATACTAAGAAGAAATGGACACGCCCACCCATCTCTATGGGCTTTGAGGTTCCCTTCGCACCATCTGGTTTCAAGGTAAAATATGTATTATTCTTAATAATTTCCTTAACCTTCATTTGGAAAAAAAAACAATTTCAAATTCAGTCTCCCGCCTTGGGAATTATATACATAAAAGCATTTTTAAATTCAGCAGACGAAGTCTCGATGAACTGCAAGTTTAAAATAAGATTCAAAAATGAATTGTGTGAACTTTGTTATATATAATTTAGCAATAATATTTGTCCGTAGGTCCGTTACTTGAAGGTATTTGAGCCCAAACTGAACTACTCTGACCACGATGTGATCAAATGGGTTCGATACATCGGCCGCTCCGGACTCTACGAGACACGATGCTAGAATGGCGACTTGGCTTACACTGTAAGTATTCACATTTAGTTCTCTTTCCCTTCCCACCCTTTCTCTTATAAGGAAAGGATGGACATTGGAAGTGGACTTTCCGGATGAGAGGATGCATGGGAAGGGAAAATATTTTCTTTCTGTGCATCCTCTCCTCCGTGGATTAAAGGTAGGCAACGCATATGCAATTGCGTATGTCTTTGGGCAACGGTCACTTCAGGTGGCCGCTCGCTCGTTTGCCACCTTATGATATATATATATATATATATATATATATATATATATATATATATATATATAAAATAAGCACTAAATGTTACGTCTTATAGCAAGTCCATTTATAGAGGTCAGTGATTCACTTAGATCGTATACCATTCTTTTGACAAATTTGCGGCAACACGGCCCCGGGGTGGATAAAAAGAAAAACTGAACAATGACAGAGAAAGATCTAAAATTTATTTGTCATATTTACGCGTTTAAGAGGAAGTGTGTAGTTTGTGTGTAACGAAATATTAAAGCTTTGATTTTGAACTATATCTACAGTTCCTCTGGTATTGCTGATGTCCATGGGTGTCGTTGAACACCTCGGTGTTCCCGCTGCTCGTTTGCCCCCTTCTGTTATAAAAAAAAATATAATTGTTTTGTTTGTTAGGTACTTACATGTATTTTTTTTTATTTCAGTTTGCCGCTGAAAGTTCTACTGTAACGGATCAGACGATATGGCGTGTTACATAAAGTTTAAAACATTTTGTATATAATTTGTCGGTACACTTTCATTACATAACGTGACATTCTTTTATGTGAATTTTAAACTATATAATTTTAATATATTTGCTTAAAAATGTATGATGTTTCGTACATAGCTTAAATTATATATACATAAAAAAAATTAAATGTTTGTTTTGTGAATCTCAGAAAGAAAAAAAAATGAATTTGATTGGTTAATTTTTGCACAAAAAAGTTATTTGTAGTGTGTTTTAAAATGTAGTGTTTTTCGAAGAAATATTTAACATCTAAGTATTTCTGACTTATTAAGAATAATGTACTCTTATTGAAGCTTTTGCAATTATCAGAAAGCTATTATTAAGGCTATGAAAAGGCAAATTTTGATGTTCATATTCATAGTACCTAGCTATAAAAGCTATATTTCTCTAAACTTAGGTCTTAACTGATTTTTCACTAGAATTATTGCTTAGAATATTATTTGAAAATATATAATGTTTTATTTTTATCACCAAATAATCCTTAATAATATAATCTCTAATAATATCGATGTTGTTAATGTTGGACATCCCTAAATTATAACTGTCTTATAGAACTTCACTCCAGTGACGCAAACATATTGCTATCTCTTTCATTCTCTTGTGACAAACAGAGACAACTATATAAAACCAAGGTCACTAGTGAATTTGGTAATAATTTTTTTGTATTTTCACCTTTCATTATTATTATAAGGTAATTCATCTAATAATTAATATATTTTTTTTATTTTATGATTTAAATACGTATAAATAATGAATTTTTTGTTTTTAAATGAATTTCAAATATTTAGAGTTAATTATAATTTATAGAGAATTTCGATGTTTTATCATTCCTTTAGTGTAATAGAGTCGGGTCTGTATGAGGTCTTTGTTATCGATGTTTTTCATTAATATTATTTCAAATTGGTTGGAAATTTTCAGGTATATAAGTCGGTCAAGTAGTAAAAAATATTGGGAAAGTAGCAAAAATAGCCTATTTTAAAAACCTTTGATCTTTTTACATAAGAATACATATATGTTTTATGATTTTTATTAACGAAGTCTTTATACGGACCCATTAATTAATATATCATCGTGTTTGTGTAGATATTAATAAATATGTGTAATGAATATTTCAAGTATCTATCATATAACATATATCGTAATTGTTAAATGACAAAACTGTCTATTTAAAAAGTATCGATAAAAAATCACTTAAACTATCGACAACTCAATTTTAACACACTGTTGTTTATTTTTTGAACACAATAGTTTTATCGATATCGATATTCATGAAAAAAATGGATATGTCACAACATTATTACTATTAGTGATTAGTTTTGTCATTAAATAATAGATCTTATTGCATAGGATTAGAGTTCATTTCAGTTTGTCCCGGGTAGTTGATACGCGCTAGGTGCGAACTGTGCATGCTGTTATAGGAAATGCTTATATCGTATCGTGTTACAAAAACTATGTACAATAAAGCTGTTGAAAATATTATTAGTTGTTTTATTTTAACATTTAGATGTTTCCCGACTCCGTCTGCACGGAAATCAGTAAGTAGGTTATGAGTTCTTCCAGACTATGTTCCGTTAAGCTGTTCCGGAGATACCTTCAAACATCCATCCATCGATCTAAACATTCGCATAATATTAGTAAGATGAAATTCTGATGCGGCCGTTTGAAATAAAGCGACGGCTAAGTCCAGTTCCATACATTTTAGAAGTTCGTTAAATTTGATCACTTCGGTGCGACTGCACTTTGTCGAACCCCCGGTTTACTAACAGTTACCTTCCGAAGGATTTCGTTAGCATATTAAAAAGTGTAAATAATAAAAAAAGAGGTGTTCCAAGGCCGAGATAAACGAATCAGTTATCTACCTACACCTCAAGATCATGTTTTGTTGGTAATCGTAATTAAAAATGCCTTTGATTCTTCAAATCTGTATTCACAACACTCAAAATAATTTAACAATCATTAGGATCTTGTACAACTCAACATTTCCCTTGGCACTTATAATTAATATTCCTCAGATCCTTGTTGAAATTGATGTCTGTTTACAAAATATACTTAAGAGTGGTGTCTTGAGGGCTTTGAATTTTAAGAGAAAGGACCTGTCAAGCGCGGGCATTCTTTCAATTAAAATTAAAGATTTCTGAACCATTTTGCGTACACTTTTTTCTGTGTGCACATTTTTTAGTCATAAGGCATAAAGACGTGTCTACATGTCATCTTTATTTCACCTATCGCGAAACTTGACAGGATTTAGTACAACGGTAGGTATTTGCCTAGTCCGTTTCTCTATAGTCAAAAATCTGGTGTAAGACGAACACCGGGCGCGAATCTTAATTAATTATTTAGGGTTCCGCGAAGGGTTGTTTTTGTTTAACATCTTGCCTTTCCGTCTACAGCGCTCAAGGGACCCTCAAGTACGTAATATATTAAGTGCCTGTTACTCAATACAATTAGCTTACTTAGGATAGAATATCCGAAGTTTTTTTCATAAAAGAAAGTAAAATAAATTCCAAATTACATGATAAGATCACTGCTAGAAATATACTTTCGACACTACCACTTAACCTCACTTTTTGTGCTTTATGTTTTTTTTTGTACCTTTAAATTTAAGTACAGCATTTATAATAGTTTAATCTGTAGCTATGTGAACGTGAATAGGTTCGTTTTTAAATGCTAAGTTCAAGCGTTTATTCAGACGTTATTCCAAACAAACGAAATGCGAGTATTTAAAAAAGTCATCCGTCCGCGCAGTTCCGCACAGTTCCGTGCAACAGATGCTCCGATTTCGTATTTTTGTTGTTTTGACAGAAAATATTTACCATTTAAAATACGCAGTCTTTATATAGCTCTATTTCTATAAAAGTTATACGAAAGTAGAACACATCTGGGCTCTTTGGTTAGACAAAAATTATAGATTTTTTTGGTCCTTCATTTTGGTTAAATTTTACTGAACTGAAACGTGTCACTTAAGTCCAAGCCCATCAGTACTCACCCATAGGTTTCCAAAGACAATTTACAACCAATAATTGTCAACATCAATCAGTGTTTCAAATCAAAGTGGAATCATACTATCCTAATATTATCAAAGCGAATGTTTACATGAATGGATGTTTGTGTGAAGTTATCTCCGGAATGGCTGAACGGATTTTGATAAATTTTGGCACACATGTAGAACATAGTCTGGAAAAACACATATTTGCGGACGGAGCCGTGGACGACAGCTAGTTATTTACAAAATAGACATATTACCATGCTTGTTGTTTGCATACTGAAATAAATACATTTAATTATAATGAAACAAGTTAAAGTTACATCTGGAGAGTGTTTGGGATTAATTTGCTTAGTTTCAAACAGAAGGCTTACAAAGGCGGAAACGTCTAGAAGTGTTTTGGCTGATTATTCGCCGAATGATAAGGGTGCAGCCTGCCTATAGAGCTTTAATCTACTGATGAGGTCGCTTCAATTGTTTATATTGCACAGAGTTCCTTGTTTAATTAGTTCCTTAATTTACAATTACGTTTGGAGTATTTACATATATTTAAAAATATTATTATTTATAAAAAGAAAGACTAACATAAAAATTGCTGCATGATTTTGTTTTTCTTTCCTATACACATGTTTTTATCTGGTGTAGAGATAAAAAAAACATGAAGTGTGTTACTTAAATTGATGGAAAATACTTCGTGAAGTTTAAAAACACACACAAAATATCTAAATGTACTTCAATAACATTGAATATTCTATTTTAATGTTTTACATAAAATTATTCTTATTTTAAAAAGCGATAACTAAAGTTTTACAGTCCCCGTGGAAGCGTAGCGCTTGGCATTTTGAATTTTTATCTGCCTCCTACGCGGAGCTTCATAATGCTTTAATTAGAGAGATTTTATAACGATTTCAAAATGTAAAATATAAAAGAAAATTTTAAAATCTTATACAATAACAATATCTTTCATTACCATCAGCTCACTATATGTCCCCACCGAGGGGCTCGGAGCCTAACCTAAGTTAAGGGTGATTAGCCCATAGTCAACCACGCTGGCCAAGTGCGGGTTGGTTGACTTCACACATATCTTTGAATTTCTTCTCAGATATTTGCATGTTGCATCACGATGTTTTCCTTCACCGTAAGAACGTCGGATAAATGTACATATGTAAATCGGAAATCGAAAAACACATTGGTACATGGCGGGATTGGAACCTAGGACCTGCTGATTGCAAGTCAAGTGCTTGACCCCTGAGCCACCGACGCTCTACAATATCTTTACCTTTAACTATTTAAAAGCCTTAGGACTCTGAAAAGACGGAAATTATGATTGATTTTCTTAGACATTAGAAGTCGTTATATTGATATTGTCATCCGATTCAAAAAATATTTATGAAAAAACAGAAATACATTTTCAACATGTATAACAACAGTGGAAACTCTCTTTTAAAAAACTAATTGTGAAATTGACCTCGTCCTAAGACAACACACAAATAAACAACGTACTATAGACATTGTTCTAAGACATAACAATGCAACAGCTGTCTACCCGACCAACTTGACCTGACACGGCGAGCGCGAACATTTGCATAATTAAGACGGGTCTATGCAACACGTAGGTACATAGGCAAAGCTTCCGTTACGAGTACTATGCATTATAATTTATATTAAAAAAGTAGAACAACCTCCTTTCTTAGTTCTCTTTTACTTTTTGGACTTTTTAATTGAGTCGAAAAGTAAAAAATAATTATTTTTCCAAAATTATAGAAAGAAATATGCAGTTATTTGTAATTGCTGTTCTGAAACCTTCTACTTTTAGCTTACTTCAAAAAGAAGGAGGTTATCAATTTGACTTTGTTTAGAAGAACATATTGGTCATTCTGCTCAAAATTGCTTGTCAAAATCGATATAGTAATTTAAGCTCCAGGTTACAATGAAAAAAATAACATACCTTCTTGCGATTTATTTTATCCTCCTAGGTTAGTGGTCAAATTAACAAGTTTTTATCAGTTTTATCGAATCAATAAGAAAGTCAAAAGAGGTAAAACTCGATTTGAAAATCAACAATCATAAAAAAATCTAATCTTTTAGATGGAAACTTTTTTTGCCGTAATAAACCTCCGGAACAGAACGTTCCGAGAGCGATTTCAATTTGAGGCAATGAGGGGAATTATATTGGAACAATCTCGCTTAGTTCTCGAAAACAAAATCCAGGCCCCGCTGATATCGCGAACTGGTTTTAAGATGGATGTATAAAAAAGAAAAAAAAACTAACGAAAACGTATTTGCGAGAAAAATGGAAACCTCGCTACGAGAATTAATGTAGTTTCTGCTGTTTTTGATGTAAAGGTTTGTTCACAGTGGACATTTTTATTTTGTGATTCAGTTACTGGCAGGTAACATGTTTAGATAACTAAAAAAAAAGTAACCAAAATGTAAGAGGGTTAGCCAAAGTTCTTCCATTTAACGCGTTATTGGGACACAGCTTTCATATATTTTACTAATTGATGTTAGAAGATATCTCCAGAACGGCTGCATTGATCTCACTGAAATTTGGCATACATATAGAACATAGTCCGGAAGAACACAAAGGCTACTAATCGCTGGTGCCATCTTTTACATAAAATTGTTATTTTGCCGATTACGCATAAAGTGGAAACAAGTATATACTTTTAATAAAATACTCATTCATTTACTTTTTAACCTTTTATATCTCCACTACAA